AATACAAGGATAGTCTGTAGAATACAATGCTTCCCTTCGATAGTCAGAACTAGCCGGAAAAGATGGGTTTTCTATCGGAAATGACCCAATGCAGGCCTACCTCCTCACTGCCGCCTTCCTAAACCCAGAAAAAGAAGCTGTTATGAAGCGACCAAGTCAAGATCTAAAGTCTAATTGAGTTCTACATCCCACGGAAGAACTGGCATGTCGCTCAACCCACATTCCAGTTAAGAATCCCACCAATGCGATTTAGTTCACAGTGTGCAGGGTTCGACTTAAAAGTCCTAAAATTATTTTATAATCAACTCCATGTCAATAAAAACGACGCTGACATAGAAATTCACAGCTACTCATCGAATAACTAATTTATCATGTAGATTCGAGAGCTATTTTGCCGAATTCGCTTTGGAATTGGAAGTTTCCAAACTTTTGACGCGCCATTTCTTATAAAAATTCGTATTTTTCAAATGCGATTCTCGTTTTCAAAAAATTATGTTGCCATCGTAATCTACACTTGATTCTGTATATAATATGTGAATTCGGGACAATTTCATTGTCTATTGGCTACGCTAGATCAAAAATAAAAAAGTTTCCAAACTTTTGACCGCTACTGTATATGTCAAGCATTTTAGAAATGATTGACCCCTACCTAACGGCTTGCTGAGACCAGACCATTCATTGTTGGACTTGTACACAAATAATTGTAATGCTAACAGCAGCGCACAATAAAATGGCGGAATCAAAGCATAATTAGGAAGGGGAGGTTGTTAGTAGAAATATGCTATTGCAGCGGTACTGCAGACATGAAGTTGATGGTGGCATTACCCACGCCAGGGCCGAAAAGGGTTAAAGAGGAAGGCCGTATATGGTCGATAGAGGGGTAGGGGCTCAAGGACAAGGACAACTCACAGGATTAGACGGTCCCATGCAAAATTTCAATGGAGCACTGGCTCTGGATTACCGCGGCTACTAACTACGGATGAGTGCATAGCATACTGCCGAGTTTAGTGAGTCTTTGATAAAACATCGTCGTATACCAGTAAGTGGAGCACAGATGTTTCAGATATTTAAAATATAGTGAAGGAACGCGCAGCATGGTTTGGCGGCATTGATTTATGAACGGAATACTATCCTAGGCGAAACATACTCACAAAAAAAGTTTCATATATTACAAATTGTATATTCAAAATTTAATTGAATTCAAATAATATCATGAAATTTTTTTTATCCTCTCTTCCCTTACTGATGAGCACAGGGAGAGGATACTCCTTTCGTTTAGTCTCCGTCTAAGGGCACGTGCGAAACGGAGACTAAACTACTCTTTGAATCCCACCCCCTAAATAAATTTTGAATAAAAGCATATAAAAAAAAGAGATCGAAAAATAAAAACAAAAACAGAAACAAGCTTATCAGGTGTCACAGCAAAACAGTTAATGATATACAAAATCAGTAATTTTATTCTAAACTCCTCATAGAAAAGTCCTTCACAAAAATTCATATTATTAATTATGAAAAGATTTGTTTACATTACCAATTACGTGAAAGCGGTAATGAATGTAAATGCATTTCGAAGGATTTCAAATCCACAACTTTCAGATTAAGTAAACTTATGTTATCAAGTACCTTCTGTTATTGTGTGTTGATGTCAACTATTTTACCGCTTCCCATTGCACCAATTTAGAAGAAAAGTGTGGGCTTTTGTAGGTTGAAATTGTGTTCTAGAAAAATGGCCCGAACATGGAGGAAACAATGAGGCTATTTTTCGGAAGGGTGGTCTTCCAAAACATTTTCTGCACTTTTTTTCAAAAGCTTCATTTAGTTTTGTGGCCGTACGGACTGGCAAGAGTTGTATTACAAGGTGTCGTGAACGTCTGATGTTGGAAATCCTAGGCGCACAAAAAACGAAACAACGGGAAATATGCGTACTAGTGACTTCACTAATTGTTGTTAAAAGGGGAAATCTGAGTTTTTAACGTTTATGTATCAGACCATGAGAGCGCTATGAAGAAGGGATTCGAACGTTTCGACGAAAGAGGTTCGTGTTACATGCAGGTTCATTTTTCAGTTCATAAAAAAGGGGATTCGGATGTTCGACGAAGACTTGGAAGGTTTCTGAAAGTAGAAATCTTCACCATCACCATCGTCTTTGCTAGCTCTTTGCCAAATGTCGAAAATACCTCTATATAACGAGTGAAGTTTTACAGTGCCTCGATTACCGTCCTCTAAGCGAGGCAAAGCGCAAAGTTCCTACTGCCCACCTTCTATTTCCATGTCAAACAGCGTTGGCCGATGTTCAACTCAATGCATTTGGCTCCCAAACGTCTCGAATATACTGCACAATTACACTGGATCCGAGACCCTGCTAAGTCTGAAAATGAGCAGAGTACAACTTGTAAAGTGGTGGAATTTTGCTGCCGAAAAAAGAGCACCTGATCCGGCTCGCTGTTCAACAACCTATGGCTCGACCTAATCGCGGTGTTGGGTCACTAATTCGGCT